CCCTGCCCCCATTTCGGCTCCATCATCCCGTCCAAATGTTGGAGCGCTGGTTTCAGGATTGCTGAGCCCTGGCACGCTCTTTGAGGTAGCCATTACGTCGTCAGTTGTTTTATTGTATTTTAACATACAGACATTTACATTCATACAGGGAATCAAGGAAAGAGATCGCGAGAAATAGGGAGAGAGAACACATAGAGAGGGAGAGAGACATGCAGGGAAAGAGAGAGAGAGAGAGAGAGAGACAAACAAAAGAGCGAGATAGGGGCAAAGAGACAGACACGTAACACTAGCGATACACGTATCTATATTGTGTATATATATATACGTACAGAGAGAGAGAGAGAGAGACAGACAACCAAGATGATGAGGATGAGGAGGGTGGATGATGATGATGATGATGATGATGATGATGATGATGATGATGATGATGATGATGATGATGATGATGATGATGATGATGATGATGATGATGATGATGATGATGATGATGATGATGATGGGGAAGACATAGATAGGATGAGGAGCAGGAGGAGGGAGGGAGGAGAAGGACGGTGTGGAGGAGGCAAGGGGCAAAAGAGGGGGGGAGAGAAGGAAGCAGACGTGGAGGAGGAGGAGGAGTGGATTGGAGGAGGAAGGAGCTGGAGGAGGAGCAGGATGGAGAGTGAGGAAGGAGGAGGAGAGGAGGAGGGAGGAGGAGGTGAGGAGGAGGCGGAGGAGGAGGAGGAGGGAGGAGGAGGAGGAGGAGGAGAAGGAGGAGGAGGAGGAGTGAGGGGGAGGAGAGGAGGAGGAGGAAGGAGGAGGAGGAGGAGGAGGAGGAGGGCCCAGGAAGAAGAAAAGAGGAACCCACGACTCCCGCGCGGCCCCGCCCCGGAAGCGCCGGGCTCCGCCGCCCTCGCCGGAGCCTGGGTCTCCCAGGAAATCCCGCGCCCTCCCTCCCAGCGCTGCTGCTGCGAATCCACTCCTCGCCCCTCCTCGCTCCTCACTCGCCCCGCCTCCTCCTCGCCCCCCCCTCCTCCTCCTCCTCCCTCCCCTTCTCCTCCTCCACGTATGCTTCGTTCTCTCCCCCCCCTTTTTGTTCCCTGCCTCCTCGGCATCAGCTTCCCCCTCCACTCCTCCTTCTGCTCCTCGTCCTGCCCATGTGTTTCTTCCCCAGCATCGTCCTCCCTTCTCACCCTCCCTGGTCCTCTCCTGCACTTAGCCGTTCTGGCTCAAGACGGAGCTTTCCCCCCGTCCCGACTCCAGAGGCTCGCGGCCGAGCTGGGAGGGGGCAGCCCCTTCCCAGGCCTGGCTGCCTCGGCCCAGCATCCAGTGAGCTCATGTAGGGGAGCAACCATTTTCGCTCCTGGTTGGGGCAGCCTCTCAGCCCTCGGCGTTGCGACTGGGCGGCAATGGAAAAGGGAGTGAGCAGTCTTGGTACCAGAAGCAGCAGTATGCCAAATGTCGGGCGCGCGGGCGGAAGTGTAGCCGGAAGAAGAGCACCGCGTGCCACAGTTGCTCGAGGCCCCTGCAGCCCGCCAGGCCTCAAGCGCGCCAGCCCAGCGGCGCACGGGGCCCTGGCGGGGCCAGCGAGCGCAGCCATGGCCGCCCGCGGGGCGGCAATGGGGGCGGCAATGGGGGCCAAGGGAGCTCCGCCGTCGCAGGAGGAGCTCCTGCGGCAGCTGCGCGCCACCCTCCCTGCCGTCGCCGACCGCGCCGCGCTCGAGCACGTCGACCAGCTGGCGATCGCCCGGGCGCCGCCCCCGCCGCCCGAGCACCCCGACGTGGCGCTCGACCAGGCGCGGGCACGGGCGCGGTGCGCCGAGGCCCGGCCCTCCAACGCTCCCTCGAGGCCGCCAGGGACGCGGAGGGCTGGCTGGACTGCCAGCGGCTCGAGAAGCCTTTTGGCGCCGGCGGCTGGGCAGAGTCCCCGCGCCGGCGAGGAAGCGGGACGGGGCTGCCGCTGAGCGGAGTGTGCGGCTCGAGGGACAGGCGCCCAGCCTCGGGGGGTCACGGAGGCCGGCCGTGAGGCGGAGGAGGCCTGCGGCGCCAGCGGGCCTGGCGGCGGCGGCGGCGGCGGCGGCGGCGGCGGCGGCCGAGGCCAGGCCAGCGGCCGCGCAGGTCGCGGCCAGCGACATCTCCCGGGCCGCTCTCCGAGGAGGTGGCGGCTATGGAGGTCCAGCCTGGGGCGATGTTCGCCCTGCAGGGGCTCGACGTCTCGGCCAGGGAGGAGGAGCAGCTCCGGGCGCAGGTCGCCAGCCTCGTCGGCCAGCCTGCAGGCGGACGTCCAGAGAAGCACCTCGCGGCCCCGCCGCCGAGTCCGTCAAGAGCACGCGCGAGGATCTCGGGAAGGTGCGCGACCGCCCCGAGGCCACGCGCCCCCGCTCCGCCGCGCCCGAGGACCTCGGCGCCCAGGCCGCGGCGGCCAAGGCGGCAGGGGGAGGAGGAGGGGCCGCCTCGCTGCCAAGGGAGCGCCGACGGGGCCCTTGAGCGGGCCGGTCACGGCACGCCCAGTTTGCTGTCCAGCCAGGGGCCCTTCTAGGCCGCGTCTTGGGGGGGGGTCGTCCCACCACCCGCAGTTCGTGGCGCCTCCCGCCGTCTGAGTCAGGCCTGTAGCCTTCGGGCGGGCTTGAACAGGCCTTCTGTCCGAGGTGTTGCGCGCTGTCTCCCTCTCTCTCTCTCTTGGCCACCCGTTTCCCGAAGTTGTCCCTCCTCGTTTTCCTCCCCGAGCCTCCTCGTCCTGCCCTCCCTGCCCCTCCTGTTCCTCCCGCTCCTTCAGCTTCTCCCGCTCCTTTTCGTTCTTGTACCCCAGGAAACCGGCGAGTGGATGGGCACCATATGCGGCGCCAAGCTCCAGTGGGCTGACGGGCCCGAGGCCCGGACAGGGATAACTGCCCCCCAAAATTGCCCTACTCTTTGTGTCGTTGTCGCCGCTAGCGGCAGCATCGTGTCGACGTCGCCGCCGCCGTCGTCATCGGTCGGTTCGCCGACGTCGTCGCCGTCGCCGTCGCGGTCGTCGTCGTCTTCGTCGTCGTCGTCGTCGTTGTCGTCGTCGTCGTTGTCGTCCGTCTGTTCGTCGCCGCCGCCGTGGTCTTCGTCGGAGTCGTCGATCCTCGGCCGCCGTCCTCCTCCCGGCCCAGAGCTTCAGGACGTCGTCGCTTCAGGTGTGCCTGCGGCCCCTCGGCGATGGCAGCTTCTCGTGCGAGCTGACCGCCGAGGGGGTCACGGAGAGCTTCTCCGCCAGCCTGCACGAGGACGACAGGCGCGCGCCGCACCGCCGCGGCCCCCGCCGCCGCGGCCCCCGCCGCCTGCCCCCCCCCCGCCGCCGCGCGGCCTCCGCCGCGCCGCGGTGCTCGGCGGCGAGCCCCGGGGGGGGGGGGGGGGAGGGCGACTTGCCGGCTGGCGGCGGTGCTCCGGCGGCGAGCCCGGCCGGCGCCGAGGGGCGAGCCCGCGACGCCGAGCCCGGCGGCTCGAGGAGAAGGCCTTTTTTTGAGAAGGCCCGGGGAGGCGCCCCTTTGGCCTCCGAGGAGTGTCTTCCGTGTGAGCCCTCCCCGAGGGCGCAGGGGAGGTGTTTCGGGCGGCCGGAGCGCCTCCGAGAGAGGCCCCGCCGCCTTCTGAGGAGGCCTGCTCCTTCCCACTCCTGTCAAGCCTGGCAAGTTCCTCTTCAGGGGGGATATCCAAGAACAGGTAGGACGTAGTATATGGCGACGATTTCCCGTGCCATCTGGTCTACTTTTGATATTCGTTTTGATTAGTTTGCATTTTCTTCCAAATTACATCCGCCTGTAGGACGACATAGCAGATCTCCCAGGTTTGATGTTTCTGCGATTCTTCGATCCCCTGCACGACCTGCCCGGCCCCCCCCCCCCCGCGCGCTCGCCTCCGAGCTGCGCCCGCCGCCGCCCACAGGGCGCCCTCCGCCGCCGCCTCTGAGGCCGCCGCGGAGGGGCCGCCGCCGCCCGGCCGGCAGGCTCGTGTGGAGCGACGGCGACGTGTGGGTCCGGGAGCGCCCCTGAGCGCTGCCGGCGGGGGGCCTTTGCTCTCGCGGCGGGCTGCCCCGCGGGCCCCCCGGGGCAGGCATCCCTCCCACCTGCTCCTCCTCTCCTCTTCCCCCCTCCTCTTCCTCCCTCCTCCTCCTCCTCCTCCTCCTCCTCCTCCTCCTCTCCTCCTCCTCCTCCTCCTCTCCTCCTCCCTCCGTGGCTATTTTGGCTCAAGTGCCAATCCCGCGCGCGCGCAGCTCTGGGACCCGAGCGGCGACTCTGCAAGCGCGGAGGCCATGGCATGATAGTCCGGGTCCTCTTCTCGTTCACGTTCATCTACGCTGCACTCGCGGTGATGCTCAACAACCCACTACGTCCTCGCGGTCGCCGTTCACTCGCCGCCCTGGATGCTCGCCGCCAAGGTGCGGTGGACAAAGGCTTCCTACACCCTCGTGCTGGCCCCGCATTGGCTTGCATCACGGTCCCAGCAGCCGTATCCCGCGAGGCGAAGATCCTCGCCAAGGCGTCCTACTACATTCCCCACTGCTGACAAGCGCGTCTCCTGGGCGGACGCCTACGACACCGTCTTCCCCGATCTGAACTCGCTGGCCGCGTCCTCCCCGCCCGAGACGGAGTGTGCTGTGGGGCCCGTGGAGCCCGGCTCCGGCACGCCACGCAGCTCAGCGACACCCTGCACGCCACGATTGACGAGAAGATCCTCACGCTCAAGAGCTTGCTCCTCTCCATGGTCGATCAGAAGCTCGACTGCAGGCTGCAGGCGTGCTTCACGCTGTGGTCCGAGTCCTTCAACACACAGCAATCCGCGATGCTCTCCAACGTCATGCAGTCCGCCGTCGCTTCCTTCTAAGAGCAGGTCATCACGGAGCTGATGGCGAATATCAGCGAGATCCAGCAGCAGGTCGTCGACACGCGTTCCGAGCTTGCCGCCTTGACGAAGATCCGCACGACGTCTGCACCGCCTCCCGCTCCTGAAGATCCACGCCGGAAGTTCGTAGAGATGCAGCGGCCCGGACCACCGCCGAGGAGCTGAAGATGCAGTTCCCTGCGCTGGCGCTCAAGATCAACAACATGCGGAGCGAGATCGTCGACAAGTTCGAGGAGCGTTGCCAAAGCATCGAGAGCGACGCGCTGGAGATGCAGCAGCAGATCGACTCCCTTGAGCAATACATACGGCGGCTTCAAGGCCACGAGGTGTTTCCTGACCTTCGGGGCGGCTCGTACCACTTGCAGAGCTTTACAAAAAATGGCCTCTGCGATAACGTTCGGAGCCCTGCGTGCAGGAACGGCTGCAAGGAGGTTCTGAATGCCATCCAGCTCTCCTCCCCGCTGATCACGAACAAGCCCGTGGACTCCGACACCAGGCTCACGCCGAGCGAGACTGTCGACCTGCTAGTGCCGAGACAGGCTGTCGAGATGGCGCTGCCGCCCGAGCCCGACGAGAAGACGCACACCGTTACGCCATCAACGAGTTCTGCTACCTGGAGCTCTGATTCGGCGCCTGCTGCGGCGTCTGCATCGACCGAGCAGCTGTCCTTCACCGTGATCGCTGAGCAGCTGGTGTGGGTCGAGCGTCAGTCCTTCAACACACAGCTCTCCGCGATGCTCAAGCCATCATCAACGATTTCGACTTCTGAGAACTAGTTTTTTGGGCGGGAGAAACATCATCTTGCCCTCTTCTCGCGCCGTGTCCGATGCTCTCTTCTCGTCATCTTTGAGGGTACCCATACTTCTCCCCTCCTCCCTCCGCCTCCCATTCCTCCCTCCTTCTCCCTCCTCGTCGTCCTCCTCCCTCTCCTCGTCCTTCTCCTCCTCCTCCTCCTCTTCCTCCCGACCTCCTCCTCCGCCAGGGCCTCGCGCCGACTGCGCGTAGGAGTAACCTCTCCCGGAAACTGAAGCATCTACATGACCAGTGGCGGGCTGTTTCGCACCCCCCCCGGGCTTTTTGAGGGTCGGGGGCGACGTTGGGGCGGTGTGGTGTATAGCTGTTTTATCCGTTTACAAGGGGAAGCAACGAAACATGTATACACCAGGATCCCGCATACACCAGGATCCACGTTCTTGTATGCGAGTCCCACTGCAGGGCCAGACAACGCGTCGGTGTATAGAGATCGGTTACCTACTTTCGCCGGAGCGGCTCCTGGGTGCGGGCCCCGTGGCCGCCGCGGTCGCCGGATGTGCGGTGCGATATGGCAGCGGCCTGTGCGCCTGGGCTTGCCGCCCCCCCCCCAAAGCCGCGCGCCAAAACCGCGCGCCCAGAAGGTCAGTCTGGCCCAAAGGGGAAAGGAAGGGAGATAGGATGATGGTGATGATGTTGATGCTGATGATCATGGCAGTGCTGATGACGATGGTGAAGGTGATGATGATGATGCTGATGATGATGATGACGATGATGATGATGATGATGATGATGATGATGATGATGATGATGCTGATGCTGATGCTGATGCTGATGCTGATGATGATGATGATGATGATGATGATGATGATGGTGATGGTGATGGTGATGGTGATGGTGATGGTGACGGTGATGATGGTAAGGAGGAGGAGGAGGAGGAGGAGGGGGAGGAGGAGGAGTAGGAGGAGGAGGCGGAGGGGTATGAGACTGTTTCGAATGGGTGGTGTGTGGGGGGGGGGGGAAGAGGAAGAGGAGGAAGAGGGGATGTGTTTGGAATGACGAAGGTGGAGCAGCACGAGACGGGGAGGAGGGGGAGGAGGTTGAGTAGAATGCTGCAGGAGGAGGAATAGAAAAAAAAACACCAGATGCGTCCCCAAAGCTTCAACTAGAGCAAAACAAGGAGGATCGGCAGGCCGAGGTGCAGGAGGATGCGCTGGGCAGGGAGCAGAAGCCACTGCATACACATAAACCTTCGGACTCAGCTCGGACTCCGCGGGAGGAATATCCAACGATAGTCCAACCATAGTCAGGGGACGATTTGTTCATACTCTTTTTGGTATTCCGCTTTATAAAAATATTAGAATGTTTCCTCTAACGCCCGCCTGCAAGGGGACATGCCCGACCGAACATAAGCTGGATACACATGGCGCGCCCAAACTTGGGCGAGAGTTGGACAAACGTACACGTGTGGCCAGATCTGGTTCCAGCGCTCCGCCTGCCCATGGCAATGCACGGTGGCCCTGAGCGCGTGCATCAAGCAAGCGGCCTCCTCATGCTCCACATGGGACTGCGACTTTAAACGGAGAAGGTTAAAGGCGAGGTATAAATCGAGCATGTACCGCTGCCGTGCCTGGCTCAAGCCGGGCCCGGCCAAATATGTGATTGTGCCTCACCGAGGCGCACGACTTGCATCAGAGATCGGAAAATACCTTTTCCATTGACGATGCCCATCCTATCCTTTACTCCAGATCCCATGCTTCGTCTTGCTCTCTTGCTCATGCGATATGAGCCAAAGCCTGGGATATGGCAACGCTTAAAGCGTAACACATACCTAAGCTTACCAGCTTGTTTTCGACTTGGTAGCGGAGCTGGCTACACTCTCGTGTGGCTGGCTCTCGCTCTGATTCCAGTAATCCACGGCACAACTTGGTGGACTACTACTACGGTGGAATACCATGTTGCGCCGGCTCTGCGAGGAGCGGAGCCAGTCCGCGATCGAGCTAGCGGGGCAACCCGCGAACTCGAGACGCTCTCTCCTACTTCACTGCGCTACTTCACTCCCGACTTCCACCAGATGCCAATCGGCAACTCGATCGAGAACGTGGTCACCCTGCGGGGCTACCCGCAGCGGGGCCACCTGCATCCCGTGCCAGTCAGGCGCCTCACGGCTACTACGCCAGAGCCTGACAAACCACAGCCTAAACCAATCACCGAAGCCGAAATGCACATGCACTGGATTAAGATAACTATCTTCGGCATTCTGTGGGTAATAATGGGATGTGCTGTGGGATACATGCGGCAGGGGATGGACGACACGCGTACTACTGGCCCCTCATGGGACCCTGCCGGTACTACGCCTTTTCGCGAATATGTTCGCGAAGTACATGCATGGTTAAACGTAACGAGCGGCAATATGACACCACCACAACAAGCTGCAGCACTACAACGAGGCCTTCAAGGTCTTGCTCGTCGTATCGCCATGCAGGTCCCCTCCCAGATCATCAATTATGGTGTAACTGTCAATGGACAGCCAACGGATGCAGTAACATATATACTGTACTTACTGAGCACCAAATTTGAAAATCTGGAAGATGAGCGCCAGCTCAACTCTGGCACTGCCCTTATCGACTTTCGCGTCGAAAGGGGCGAGCGAATCGACTCAGTGTTAGCTCGGTTCGAGATGGCCCGTGACGAGGCTAACTCTGTTGGATTTGTCATCCCCAACTTTCAGATCCTAACGCTGATTCTCTTCAGAGCGTTAGGCGTTGGCGCGTCACGAGCCCAACACCTGCTGGAGCCCTTTAATCATCAGATGCCCCGAACACAAGCAGACTATGACAGGCTGCTGACCAGGATGAGGAACTACGGACATGTCGCCGAGCGCTCTCCTGGCAACATAGCGGGTATCTTCACAGGGCACCACTCACATGCAGGTGTCTACGCCACGACTGCGGGGTCACCCGCTGGTCCTGGCGAGCCAAATCCCTGGGCTGACCCAGCCGATATGCCCAACGAGGCCACTGCCCTTTTAGGGCAGACCGGCCAGGCATCGGCAGAGGCAGCTGAGGCGAACGCCTGGTCGAACTACTCGCCAGGCGCCGCCTACACTGCAAGCCCGCCCTCGGGCACAACCCTCTGGGGCCAAGCGGAGTCATCCGCTCAAGGGTCTCAGCCACCCTCACCGTTTGAATCTGGCACTGACACAGACACCTCATCTGACGATGAGCACAATGGCATAGTCTCTGCAGGTAATCACTATCCAGCGGATGACACTCATCTTTCTGAACAACAAAGAGCGGAAGCCGCTTTTATGGCCTATCGCAAATCAAAACGCCGTTGGAGGCGCTTTATGAAGAAACCAGTCAGAAAAGTGAGACGTGCAGTACGCCGACATTTCAAACGATATGGAAAGGGTCGTGGCAAAGGGGGTCGCAGACGCCGTATGCATGGTAGGGGTATCACTGCTTTCCTCACGTCCTTAACTGATATAGCCTTTGAAGAAGTTCTTATCGGAGGCAAAGGTCGGGGTCACAGGCGGACCTCCGGTAAGGGAAAAGGGCGGAGGGGCAACCCTAGGGACGCTTCTGGCAATACTATGAAGTGTCATACATGCGGTAGCACAGATCATTTGCGCGATCAATGCCCGAAGGGGAAAGGAAAGGGATCCGTACATTTGGCTCAAAATTCTTTTATGGATGACATAGACTACATTGACTACGAGTTTTACGTCAATCCAGAAGCGGCTCCCGCCGCGGGCTCCTCCACGTATTACGTGATGGCCCGCTACGCTGAAGCAACCGTAACCCTGGAAGACTACGCAGTGACCCTCTTCGACGAGTTCCACGGCTGGGACGAGGTCGACGAGGTCGCGTTCAATGCTTGGTTCGGTCTTCCAGCGGGGCCACCCGCCGGCGACGAGGTCTCCGAAGCTGAGACCGTCCCGGCAACAGAGGAAGAGCTCACCGCCGTGCTGGCACCGCATGTGATTGGCATGCCGTTGCTGCCAAATCTTTCGCAAGCTGGCTCGGAGGCGGGAGACGCTGATGACGAAATGCGGGGCCATCCCGCGTATTCGGACTCCGAAGAGGCCGAAGAAGAGTATAAGGACATGCTCCAAGAGCAGGTCGCAGAAGCAATCCGGCTCCTGAGCGCGCCAGCACATCAGCAGATAACCATGAACGACCTGCTGTCGCGCCCAGGGGCTGCGCGGCTGCGTCCATACCTGGATTCGGACATGTCGGCATCTCAGATGCTGACAGCACTCCAGGCTCTAGCGGGGTCACCCGCCGAAGTGACGCCAGCCGCAACAGCGGGGCCACCCGCTTGGTCTATGGATGTATTTATGCAGGGTTGTGATCAAATAGACCTTAACGACCTCACGATGGAGCAGTTAAACGACATCGGGTACTTCCGAAGCCCGTATCAACACGTGTTCATGGTCCAGGACAGCTCAGAGGACTCGGAGGACATGCGCTACGCCAAGAGGGATAGACGACCATCGCCTCCCCGAGACTCAGAGCATGACGATCAAAGACCAATGGAACGTGGTAGTGCGTCAGCGGGGCCAGCCCGCAGAAGGAGCCGTTCAGCTCCCAGACGCCCTACACATGATGCATCGGGCTACCCGTACAGTACTGAGCACTCCGTTGGAGTATCCGCTCAGCATGTGCCGGATTGGTACATCAACTGGTACCCCGGCTACTCGATGGACGTGCTTCGCCACTGGTATTCTAAGGAGTACTGCACCAAAAGGGACGAAACTGGCGTGATAATACGTACCAAGGGTGGCAAGACCAAAACGCCAGAGGCTTGGGACAAAAGGGCTAAGAAACAGGAGATCATCAACGATCGCAAGACATACAGGAAACAAGTATGTCAGTGCGAGCCCTTCAAAGGTCACATGCGCAGTTGTCCGATGGACCGCCCCTCCAGGAGTCCTCATCACGGT